ATTAGTGCTTTATGAATGAACATTGGCAACTATGGATTTAGTGTCTGTCCTATAACCCTGGAAGTAAGGGACTTCGAAATAAACGAATGCAGAATAGATGACTCTTAGGATAAATCCTTAAGAGTAAAGAAGATAATGAGGATGGGTAATTTGGCTGATTGTTTGATTGTTTAAACATAATAATTATATTATTCTGGGTTGAAAACCCTATGTACTCACCAGGTTTCCCAACCTGACCCACTCAGTTTATTTATATCACAGGTATTGATATGAAGTCACATTACACTGAGAGATTAAAGAGATGTAGATCACTAGTGTAAATAAATGTAAGTTCTGTTTATGCTTATGTTCCTGTATTGAAGATGACATCCCAAACATTTTAAAATGAATAAAATACGTTTATTCGAAAATGTTTTAATAACGTATTAATCGTGTTTTTCTGGAACGAATTCCGCAACATTTTTATTAAAAGAAGAACTCTGATTTTTATAAAGAATAAACAAAATCGGTCTTTTCTGGCCGTGAAAATGGGGATGTCACAAGCGGTTCTGACTGATGGACTCGCCGAGTAGGAGGACCTACTCACCGAGTTAGGGCATGTGACAGCCTTCTGGTGGTGCCACGTGTCCAATTCTGGTGGTGCCACATCACCCCTATCGCGTATCAGCCTTCAAACTTAGAAAAATCATAACTCTTTCATACAAGCTCCGCTTTCGACATTCTTTTTTTCAACACGTAGGTAAAATCAAGATCTATAACTTTCATTTAGACTCCGTCGACTAATTCTCGACCAATCTCAAATTTATCAGTAAGAGGCGTTTAGACTGTTAAATGACCGCGAAGAATTCGTAACTTCTTCATACGGACTCCGTTTTCGTCTATCTTTTTACCATTGAGTTCCTATTAATGAGATCTTCAACTCTAATTTAGGATGCGTAAGCCAAAAACCACTCGAACGAAAAATCGAGTTTTGGGTTGTGCACTACTAAGCCAAATCTTAGAAAATTCATAACTTGCTCATACGAAGTCAGATTTGGGCTTTCTTTTTTTTTGTATGTTCTTGATTTAATATATACTACAACTTTCAGTGGTGACTCATTGAGTTGGACAGGCTAGGACTCATATTGAAGGACTCGACGAGTCATGGGATGACTCGGCGAGTCCATTCGTGAATTGTGGGGTTCTGAGTTCATGAGCTCGGCGAGTCACTAGTATGACTCAGCGAGTAGGGTCAACCAGGAAGGTTAACGTTGACCAAGACTGTGACTTTGACCAAGAGTTTACCAGTTTGACTTCAAATGGTATTTTGGTAATTTGGGCTCCAATGGCTATTAAGTCATTGAAGTTTTAGGCGGTGGTGTTCGTGGCAGTGATCGGGAGTTTTGATCTCATCACTTCAGTTCGGCATTTGCAAGGTGAGTTATCCTCATTATACTTAAGGGTCTAAGACACCAAGGCGGCCCTTTGAGTTGTTATTTGAGATAGTTACTATGGTGATATGATAGCTCGGTATCCTGGTAGATAGGATGGTTATGTTCTAGTACGATTGGTTAGTTCTAACTATCTGTATGCTAGTAGGAGATTACCCGTTATATGTGCACATGTTTGTTATGGTAGTTGAAGGTATTCCATCTCGATGATGATAGGGCCCTAGTATGTTGTCTGGTAGACTGTTATATGATTATCTGATATAAGTACACATGTTTATTCCATAGTATGTAGGCAATCCAAACCGATGGTTGTGGGCCGAGAGTATTCCATCCCGAGGATGATTGGACTCATAGTAGGTGGGCATTCCAACCCGATGGTTATGGGCCAAGAGTATTCCATCACGAGGATGATTGGGCTCGTAGTATGTTGGCATTCCAACCCGATGGTTGAGGGCCTGGGGTATTCCATCTTGATGGATGATTGAACCCATAGTAGTTATTGTATGTGTACGAGTGTGGGCATTCCAACCCGATGGTTGTGGGCCGGGAGTATTCCATCCCAAGGATGATTAGACTCATTGTATGTTGACATTCCAACCCAGCCAGGGGTATTCCAACCTGATGGTTGACTGGACCTATAGTATGTTGTTCATTTCCGTATGTGTATGGTTGTATGTGTATGGGTATTTTGGGGATAACTCACTAAGCTTTCGAGCTTACAGTTTCAATTTATTGTTTAAGGTACATCAGGAGATCGTGGCAAGGCAAAGGTGTGATCGTACCGGTCCTCACTTTTATGATGTTGTTTCTGGGATACTCTGATAATAAACTATTTGGAAGCCTTTTTGTAATAACTAATGGAACTTGGGTTGTTTTTGAAAGTTTAAATTGGTTTGAAATCTTCTGGGTGTTATTGTTTGGGCCTTGGTCTGGGATCAAGCTAGGTTAAGGGTAAAGTAGTCTTTTTACCCCAAACATGGACTTTTGGTTATGTATTGGAACCCAATTATTAATTGGGTGTTGTTTTGATGTTGATAGTTCAGGAATCTATCATCCAACAACTAGAGTTTTATCCGCAGGACTTCAGCAGTACGAGGTGAGTCTCCTCACTCTTTTTATGGGTCGAAGGCACCAATGCCGGCCTATTTGGTTTATGTATTGTAGGGAGACTCGAGGGTTAGCCCAAGGCATTATGTATAAAAGACCAGGAGGTGGCTCTTAGCACACTGTATGCTCATTAGCTAAGTAGAGTAGTATGTATTAGTTGTCTTTGTGATGCTTGCTTTGAAGACCAAGAGGTAGCTCTTGACACTTGTCTGTAAGACCAAGGAGGTGGCCCCCGGCTTGGCATGAAAGACCACGAGGCGGCCCGTGGCATAATGGCACGACTAAGTGCGGCACATAACACATTTATTGATTATGATATATGAATGATATGTATGGCTCACATTTATGTATGGCATGTATGGATTAGTTGATATATATGGTATGTGGTATTTGATGAACTCGCTAAGCTTCGTGCTTACGTTTTTCAGTTTTGGTTTCAGGCACCTCCAGTTTTCAATAAAGGAGCTCGGGACGATCGCAACGCATACACCTATGTTTTTCCGTAATATGTGATTTCTAGGAATGAACTTTGATAAATGTTTTATTTAAAATGTTTTTCAATGTGTGAACAAAGTTACAACGGTGTTTTAGTTATTTTAAAAAATCAAATTTTTGGTCATTAGTTTTGGGATGTTACATGCACAAAGACGAACTGAAGTAGAAATGAGGGGAGGGTGACAATATGTAGGTTTAGAGTCTATTTCTTTTATTAAAGGGAAATGGATATTTTTTTTATAATAACAAAATCAATAAACAATTAACAAATAATAATTAGATAGAAAATAAAAAAAGAAATAAATAAGAGCAAAATTGTCTTTTTATATCCATAGGGATGAAGTGTGGAACTTTTAGCCAAATGAAAAACGGTTCAAGTTAATTTTTCAAAATATGGAACCTAGACAAGGGACGATTTGTGTAATTTACTCAGTTAGATAATGTATTATATATATATATATATATATATATATATATATATATATATATATATATATATATATATATATATATATATAGGTTCAGGTTCATTTGAGACCATTCTAATTTTGTGAGACCGTGAGACCAAATCTAAAAATAATTTTAAAATGTAAAATAAATGGAAAAATCCAAAAATTCTTTTTTTAAATATTATTTTCGGAACTTGAATTAACTAAAAAATTTATAAAAAATATAAAAAAAATAAAAAAAAAAATCCGTTTTTTTTTTTTGAAAAATACGTGAAATATTCTAAATAGAATATTACACTGACATATTCTAAAAAATAATTTTAAAATGCAAAATAAATGGAAAAATCTAAAAATTCTTTTTTTAAATATTATTTTCGGAACTTGAATTAACTAAAAAAATAAAAATAAAAAAAAATTCTATTTTTTTTGAAAAATACATGAAATATTCTAAATAGAATATTACACTGTACATATGCTAAAAATAATTTTAAAATGCAAAATAAATGGAAAAATCAAAAAATTCTTTTTTTAAATATTATTTTCGGAACATGAATTAACTAAAAAAAATAAATAAAATTTAAAAAAATAAAAAAAAGCGTCTCACTGTCTCACAAAATATAGGTGGTCTCAAATGAACCTAACCATATATATATATATATATATATATATATATATATATATATATATATATATATATATATATATATATATATATATATATATATATATACACATATATATATATATATATATATATATATATATATATATATATATATCTTAACTATATTATTAAACATATTGCCCATGTCTTGAAAATTAAGAGGTATACATTTTATAGCACAAAGTACAATCTATTAAGCTTACAATGTATACGTATACACGAGTATCATTATACCAAACCCTAATACCCTTTTGACACTATCAACATCGTTTCTTCCAAATCCGTCTGCCTCCTCACTTTCTTCAATCTCCGATACGCTTCCATTACCACCACCCTCCTATAGTCGTCGCCATCGCCACCCTGCCGACGTTGTCCCCTCCATCGCCACCAGACATCGCACACCATAAACAGATCCGGAGATGGTCATTGTTCATCCGAACACAGAGGGGAGGAGGACTTCGCTTATGTGTTCATTGTTCGTCCTATTCACATCGACATGCCCCTTTCCAACCTCTCTGCATCTTCGATCTTGAAAAACCCTAAAGATCTACGTCAATCATCTCGAGAAACCACTGCTGACGACGATTTTGCCGCCTACCACCACCTTCGTAACCCCCCTCAACCACCACAGGTATCCTCTAGACACAAGAATCATCCTATTCACATCGACAACACCAAATATGCCCCTTTCCCGCCTTCGATTTTCACCCTAACACGCTCTCAGGTCTCAGCTATCAAAGATACCGAACACAGAGGGGAGAAGGACTTCGCTGCTGACGACGAATCACCTCTCAGGATCTTCGATCTTGAAAAAACCTAAAGATCTGCGTCAATCATCTCGAGAAGCCGTTGCTGATGAATAGATCCGCCACTTACCACCACCTTCGTAACCTCCCTCAGCCACCACAGGTACCCTCTAGACACAATGATCATGGTTTTTCCCAAAATTTCTTCCAAATCTATAATATAGTAAAGATATTCAGGGAGGACAAGATTTTGTCAAAGCTTCCTGTTGCTATTATTCAGTCTTGGTATCAGCGACAAGGTTATGTCAAGTCTATGGCTGATTTAATTCAGAAGGAATTGCAAACCTTTTGGTCTCCTGATGAGGTAAAAAATTCTATGGCTCCTGATTTAATTCAACAATAATATTCAGTCACTGAAGTATATATATACTCTGTTATACGTGTAGTATCATCATAAGAAGTATATATATACTCTATTTCTTGATCTAATCTTTAATATTTCTTTTTCTTTAGGCATCATCACTAGAAGGTCAAGAGGCAAGTGTTGTCACCGAGTATGTTATCAAGGTAATAGCTCAAGAATAAGACAGATAAAAATTGCAACTTTTGTCCCATTGACATGTGTTATGTTTAAAAATGTATCAAATATAAGTGAATATGTGAGAAAAACACAACTAATTTTCTGATATTTATGTTCAGATATACAGATTTTAGGTCTTGAAGTGTGTGCAGACACTGTAGTAGGAGATGAAATGTTTAGGGGTATTTCAGGGGGGACAAAAAAAAGCGAGTCACAACAGGCGAAATGAGACCTATGACCTATTTGATGATGTCATACTTTTAGCAGATGGACAAGTTGTGTATCAAGGTCCTAGAGAAAATGTGCTTGAATTCTTTGAGTACATGGGTTTCAAATGTCCTGAGAGAAAAGCAATTGCTGATTTTTTACAAGAAGTAATGTGTAGCTCTTAGGTTGCGTTTGTTACATGTAATTTCATTTGGAGTTATTGAACTTTTGGCTAATGCTGGTTTCATGCTACAGGTAACATCAAAGAAAGATCAACAGCAATACTGGATAACAAAAAATAAAGCTTACAGTTTTGAATATTCTTGCTCGGATTTTAGATTCTAGCAAACTAATGAAATTAAAGGTTAGCATTTTTTTATTTAATAAAAAAAAAATCTAAAATGTACTTTTTTCACTCATAAATAAAAGTATGTTGCTATTTCTACAAACAGTTTTATGATGCACCTGTTAATGGATCTAAGAAAGGATCAGATGAAGCAAGATTGTCAACCAGGTTTGTTATGTTTTTGTTTTGCATGTTAGGGTTTTATTTTTATTTTTATATAATTGTTTTTTTGTATTAAATATGATAGCTAGCAAACGATCCAAGTGGAGGATCTTTCAGATTCCACATTCCTTTCGCGATTGGTTGAAATCTTGAAGAGTTGTTCGTTTGTTTTGCAAACAAAAGCAGCTTCAGTTCTTGAATTCTTGTCAAAATTCGAGAGTTGTAGGGACAAAATCGTCTTATTTGATATTGAATCCGCTTTGAATTCCATTTTCCAACACAAGTTCTTTAATGGTATGGAATATTGGATGCATACACATAAATGAGTAACAAACTATTTGTTTTTTTTAATTACAAAATTATCTTTTTTTTTTTTAAAGTTCCAAGAAGAGGTAAGAAACTGGAATGATTAATTAGTTCATAAAATACCATTAAAAGCGATAAAAATAAGGATATTTTGTGAACAAACCATTCCAGTTTCTTACATTCACATTTTTAGTGTTTTGTGCAAAAAAAATTGTTTGTTGCTCATTTATGACTTATAATCCTTAGTTTGATGTGTAAAATCCAAGTAAAATGACTATTTTGCCCTTCTTGCAAAGACCACGTAAAAGGTACTTGAAGCTGTTATCTTCTACTGAAGTTTAAGTTAAAGATTCCCTAATCAACCCATATCAATTTGCACACATCTATTCTTCTTCAATATATTTTCTTACGTTACTTTTTATTTGTAAATTTTACTAACATTTACAGTAATTTCAGCTTCTAATATATATTTTATTTTTAGTATGATATTATTTTAAAGAAAATATTATTAATTTTGATATAATTTTTTACAGTTAGTATTTATGGAGATAAGTTAGTAATACACCATACCCTTGATGATAAAATTTAGAAAATGGAGGAAATGGAGATGTGGGGCTAAATCAGATTGCTCTGTTTGAATGAAAAGTAGTTGGAGGAAATGGAGAGCAGGTTCTTAGTAGAGAAATATACAGACTTGGTCAACTCTTTGACTTCTTCCGCATGCTTTCATTCTACTTTACTACTGTTGGATTTTACTTGTGCACCATGGTACACTACACCTTTATTTATTTATTAATTCATATTACTTTTAAAAAAAACAGCTAACAACTTTTATGTTTTGATATACAGTTAACAGTGATCACAGTGTACATATTTCTCTATGGGAAAACATATATGGTAAGTAGCTAATCACCAAATCTCAGTTTTATATTTATAAAAGAAAACTGAAATTTCTCAAGAGCAACCATAACATCATTATAATTCATATTCATAATTGAGGAAGAGGAAATAATAATTTCATGTTTATAAGTCAATTTATCAACTACTCAATGCTTAAATTTGAATAAATTTAAGCAATTCTTTATGTTGATCTTTTGACACATCATTAGGGGTATTGCCCATTTGTTGAAAATATTCGATACTTCTATGTAAGCAAACAGAAAATGAAAAAATGAAAGACTTGCAGTTTGCTATCTGCAGGCTATGTCCAAAATATATTTTTTTCACTTATTATGTTTCTATATGACAGGTATCGACTTTTTAATTTTGTAATGTGCAAAAGATTAAGTGACCTAATTATTCAAGGCATTTAGTTGAAAGTCTTTACTCTAGCTTTATATGATTTTTAAACAGGAAGCAGTAATCAAGAAAAAATATAGTTTGTTGTGTTGTTTTAATGTTTGTTTATTTGATTCTTTTCAGGGAGAAATAAGCTTGCTTCTTTGACATATATTTTTTAAACTTAAAATCCTGATGGGTATTATGTTTTTTTAGTTACAAGGGCATAAATGGTAAGGGGAAGATGCTATTATGAGTAAAATTACAGGTTTGGTGTTGTTAGTTGTTGGTATGTATTTTTGTTGTTTCAAATGATCAATTTACCCTCCATTTTGTTGTTGAAGTGACTATTTTACCTTTTGTAGTGTTGTACAGGAGTTTGATGTTCGTAGTAAGAATGAGCTTCTTACAAAAGAACGTGCTGAGTTTATCAAATTATTGCAGGTATTTTAAAATTTACAGCTAACTATTTTAATGAATTTTTTGTTGGTTTATAATTTCATAACCAATTTTACATCTTTTTGTTTGTATTTTTCTCTTAACAGCAAGCCCAGAGTGAGGCTGCATCTGCATTTGGAAATGATGGTGCTCATTTAGAAAAATAAATCCAAAATCCAAGGCACATTGAGTTCCTGTTAAGTGTTTTTGTGTTTTTTGTAATAGTGAAATCGAAAAAAACCAGTTTGTCCCTACTAACTTGTTGAGTGTCTAACTGCAGCTACATGCTTATTTGAGGTTCTTGCAGATAAATACGGAAATGTTGTTCACTTTGGAGAGCTTAACTTCAGTATTCATGTATGTACCCAACTGTTCTAATAACCAATAGATCCTATAGGAGAAAACATTTCCCTAGAATTCAATTCAACAGAACCTGCACCCTTCCATGTTGCAGCTTTGGCTTCTGGTCTTGCAATTGCTTCTCCAACAGAACAAAGAACTGTAAGCCCTTTCTTTTTTGTTTTATTTAAATGTTGTAAGCCCTTTCTTTTTTGTTTTATTTTTTTCACTTATTATGTTTCTGTATGACACGTATCGACTTTTTAATTCTGTAATGTGTAAAAGATTAAGTGACTTAATTATATGTTTTGACTACCGATCTATTAAATTGTTTTTTAGATTACAATATATTTCCAAAAATAAAATCGACAAATATTATATTCGTTTTTAAATTTTTGAGTATATTTGTTAAGTTTCATATGATTTTAAAATATTTTTGGTAGGGATTTTGATAATTAGTATATTTGTTAATTTTGTAAGATTTTAAATATTTTTGGTATGGATTTTAATATTCATGGTAAGATTTTAATTTGCTTAATTTTGGAATGATTATCAATATCCAAAAATACAACATTATATTCTATAATAGATTATTCAACCTATAAATTTAAGTTATGTTCTTCATTTTTAACTCACAGCAAAATTTCACAGTTGAGGTTTTGGGACGATTTGATCATTGAGTTGGAATCGGGAAGACTGCTACACTGCTTCATTGCGTTTCTTGACACGGATTCAGGTTCTCTTTACTTCTTTTATATTTTGTAACTTCAAATGTGTATAATATTTTATTTCTTACTTCTATTTGAAGTGATAAACTTCTTTTGTTTCAAATGTGTATAATATTATTCTGTCTTATATCTAAATTGATCACTCTTCTTATTCTTTATCTCAAATAATACATATATATAATTTGTATATGTGTGTGTATGTATTTGTTTGTATTCTATCTAAATTGATCAATCTTCTTATTCTTTATCTCAAATAATACATGTATATAATTGAATTCTAGGTGTGTATTTATTTGTTTCTGACATTCTGCATATGTGTGGTTTGTATATGTATAAGTTAGGACATTTGTTTTGAATATTTTTAATCAGTAAATATCTTTTAATTATCAAATTGATTGTGGTATTCTGGCATGTTATTATTATTATTATTATTATTGATGGGTTTTAGAAAAAACTCTGGTGTTTTGTAATGAAAAAACACCAGAAAATGTAATATTTTTATAAAGAAAAAACGTTGATGCATTTTCGTTGCTACTAAACTACCATTTGTGGTATGTTTTGACATCCGTTCGTGTTGATTTCATTTGGAGGGACTCAAGAGCAAACAAACTTTTCATGGTTCTCATTGATCAAAATGTATGTTTACAAAACTATTTATATCTTATATTCATTTTCATAATTTATCACAAGTATTTTTGTTTATAAAAATATTACATTTTCTATTAGAGAGAGAAATTGTTAGCAGTTGTTCCACAACAAATGATGCGCTTTATTTATGGAGGGAATCTATTGGGTGGTGTGTTTTCTTTAAACCATTTCCAAATCGAACCAACCTATGCTAAGTATCCGAGATATCAAGAATACAGTTTATTACGTGGTGATTTGATGATTAAGATCAGCAACAACACGCGGTTTAATCGTTTGGCCGATGCTATCATATCATGGTTTCCGGTTTTCCCATTGGTTCCCTCAATAAAAATTTTAGTAGAAGATCGGACAGAGAGAAAAATGATGATCGGTAAATTTAATAAATTGTATATATTTTCAGCATTCTAAAGTTTTTAAAATAATAACAAGTTGTCCTTTTAATTATCGTCATTTTTAGGTATTGTTGGAAAAATCATCAGAGGCAAGCGAAACTATTCCCGTTACTCTGGTTTACTGACGTTAACTTCTTTCACTTTATATCTCCAAGATGGGCCGTAAGTGTTTATTATTATTATTATTATTATTATTATTATTATTATTATTATTATTATTATTATTATTATTATTATTTTATTATTTTATTATTATTATTATTATTATGATTACACTAAAGCAAAATTAGGTGACTTTGGAAATATTTGATTATAAATAGAGGGAGTATAATAAAGATGAAACTACATATAACCGACCGAACACGCCATCAAATTGTGAGGACTGTCTATGCGATAGAGAGAAAGTATATAATATTTGTTTCTCGGGTGAAATTGGTTCATTTGGATTCAAGTAAGTTTTTTCTAGAAAATTATAATAATTGTAGTGATATTAAAATACCTAAATCAATACATTTTAATAGTTTTTATCTTATTTTCAGTGAACATTTTGATATCAACCAAACTAAGCAACGTAGAGTTCCAACCGCGGATGCCGGAAGCATTTAACATCATAAATATGCCTAGAAGAATTTTTAATTCCGTGTGAGACATTTGGTGGTGTTTTTTTTTGAAGTTTTGACAACTTTTACGAGTGCGTTGCTTTTATTGTTGATCTACATTAATGTTAGACATATTATGGTGAATTTTTTCATGTATGGTTTATTTTTCTTGTGTTGACTTATGAATTCATAAATAATAATTTTTGGATATCTATGGAAATTTTCTTTTAATTATGTATAACTTTCTTCTATTGTGTTTTTGGATTACAAGTTTTTAGTATATTTGTTTATTTATTAAGGGTTGTGTTGCTTTTTGAAACACACACGTACATGACTACTAAATCACATGGTCTACATTACAAAATGTTACATTCTTGATGATATAATATGTTCTTATTCTTAACATTTCCATTATAGTGTTCAATGGGGACTGTAGATAAGGGAAACGAAAACTGTGATGATTCCCAAAACCCGATAGATATAGAAAAAGGTATGTCGTTTATATGAGTATATATTTGCATTTATAATATATAACTATTTATCCAAATAATATGTTTGTAGAAAATCGAAAAAGATACAATAGAAACTATTATGCACGAAAAAAGGAGAAAAACAAAAAGAGAAGAATAGCTAACGGTGAAGGATGTAGTCAACCTACAACACTCACAAGTTGCACTATAATGGAGACAAACGAAACAAATATCAACGAAGATTCCTCTGTGAGTGTTATAAGTGCTGCTCAGAGGACGAGTACTTATAATAAAGAATATTATCAACGAAGAAAGGAACGAACTATGATGACAAAAAGAAGAGTATACGCCTTTCAGGACGATCCGTATGATTTTGTTTATGAAAATATCCGTATGGAACATCGTATATTAAAGGCTCAAAACCCTTGTGTTTATTGTGGAGCAAAGCGACTACAATATGAATTCCCTACCTTTTGTTGCATGAGTGGGAAGACAAAACTGGCACACTCCCCTATTCCCACAGAGTTGCACCAACTCTTCACAAGGCAAGAGCAGCTAGAAGAAAGCTTCAGGTACAATATAAGGGCGTATAACTCAAACTTTTCTTTCGCATCACTAGGTGTAAATGTGGATAAAGAATTGGCCAATATGAATTCTGGAGTTTACACTTTTTGTGCGCACGGAACACTCTATCATAATATCGATCAGCTAATTTCAAGGGATGGTAAATCGAGGTATTTACAGTTGTATTTTTATGACGATGAAGCTGAAATATCACAGAGATCCTCCTGGAAGAATGTTGATAGAAGAATCATCCAAAAACTAACACGTATTCTAGCTTCGAATCCGTACGTTAGAACATTTAAACAACTTTCTGATCTAGGACCGCTTGATAATTATAGAGTGACTTTGAATGCATCGGTGGAGCTTGACCAAAGGGTGTACAATAAGCCTACCACATCTGAGGTGTGAATAGTAACATTTAACTTTATTCATTTTAAAATTAAATGTCTCATATTTATTGTTATACATATCATATTAATCACCATATTGAACTACACCTTTGCATAGGTTGCTGGTATTTGGGTTGAAGGAAATGACAACATCACTGCATATAAAAGAAGTATTATTGTCTACGGGAGGTCTAACTATAGTACTGAAATTCAACCTCACTTTGGTTGTTATGATCCTTTGTCGTATCCTTTATTCTTTCCTAATGGTGAGTCTGGATGGCATCCTAAAATACCAAGATATGGGGTGGCCATGGATGAAATTATTAGTGACAATGAAGACAATGATGAAGGTTCAGAAGGTACGCCTTTAACATTCTTTTACATATTTAAAACATGTAACACGTATTGCCTTAAATATTTGGATATTAAATTTATATTTTTCACATAAATTATGATATCACAGGATCTACTTCAAAAAAAGGCAGAAACACTGTAAGTATGCGGGAGTACTATTGTTACAAGTTCCAGATACGGTCGAATGATAATGTGATTTTGATGGGAGGGAGATTGTTCCAGCAGTTTGCAGTAGATACCTATATAAAGATTGAGACTACACGTTTGGTTTTTGTTGAAAAGAACCAAACCAAAATTAGAGCTGATTTATACCAGGGCATTGTTGATTGTTTTAATGCCGGTGAGGCTCAACCAAGTAGGGTTGGACAGAGAGTTGTGTTACCTGCAAGTTTCATTGGAGGTCCACGTGACATGCGCCGAAGATTTCTGGATGCCATGGCTTTAGTTCAAGATGATGGGAGGCCTGATATATTTCTTACAATGACTTGCAACCCAAAATGGAAAGAAATCGATGATGAGTTATTGCCTGGACAGTCAGCTCAAGATCGACCGGACCTTGTTGCAAGAGTTTTTCATGCTAAGTTAGAGGATCTCAAGGTACAATTATTGCAGAGACATATAATCGGTGTGGTGGGGTCATATGTGTATGTGATAGAGTTTCAAAAGCGTGGATTGCCACATGCACATTTCCTCTTAATAATGACCCCTGGATATAAGATGAATAATCCAGACGATTATGACAAACTTGTGTGTGCGAAATTCCCGACCCAATAAGGTTTCCTGAAATGCATGATCTTGTCAAAAGTCACATGATGCACGGTCCCTGTGGTAGCTTACGAGAAAAAAGTCCGTGTATGCAGGGTGTGCCAAAAATATGTCGTTTCAGATATCCTAGGCAATTCAATGAAAAGACATCACAAGGAGAGGACTCATATCCATTATATAGAAGGAGAAATAATGGAATTGAGGTTACTGTAAGAAATACATCATTGGATAACAGATGGGTGGCTCCATACAACCCGAAGTTGTTAATGATGTTTAATTGTCATATCAACGTTGAGGTTTGTTCGAGTATAAAGTCTGTGAAGTACCTCTTCAAATATGTTTATAAGGGCCATGACAAACAAGTTATCCATATTGATAAAGACCAAGAAAATGTTGTTATTAATGAGATAAAAAAGTTTCAAGACGCACGTTATGTGTCCCCTCCCGAGGCATTATGGCGAGTTTTTAGCTTTCCTCTATCAAAAATCCACCCTTGTGTGATGGCGTTGCAAATACATCTCCCGAATCAACAGTTGGTTAGGTTCAAAGACGGTGACAGAATGGAAGACATTGTTGATAGAGAGAAAGAAAAAGATTCAATGTTGACGGCATTTTTCAAGAAGAATAAAGAAGATTCCAAAGCGAGAGAATATTTGTATAAGGATTTTCCCAAACATTTTACATGGAATCGGAGCAACCATTGTTGGAGTATCCGGGAACATAAATCAATGGTTGGTCGACTTGTTTATGCTAATCCAGCTGAAGGAGAGAGATACTACCTACGCCTGCTTTTATGTCATATCAGCGGGCCTACCTGCTTTGAAGATTTATACATAGCAAATGGTGTATTACACCCTACATTTCGAAAAGCAGCTCTTGAAAGAGGTTTAATAGAGACGGATGATAATTTATCACAGTGTCTTGAAGAGGCTTCCTTATTTCAATTTCCCAGCGCACTTAGAAGGTTATTTGCGACGATGCTGATTTTTTGTGAACCAGGAAATGTTCGCAAGTTATGGGACGACCACTATGATTCTCTTTCTGAAGATTATAGGAAACAATATGGATGCGCCGAGCGAGTGCAAAATATGGTCCTCATCGACATTAGAGTCTTCCTAGAATCTATGAGTAAAAAGCTTAGTGATTACGACCTTCCAAATGTCAGTGCACACATCGATTTACAATCAAGAGGCTATCGTGAGGTGCAAGAAGAATACTCTATAAATGTGGAATATGAAGACTTACATGCGCGAGACTCTCTCAATCCAGACCAGAAGTTTGCATATGATGAGATAATGAGGCATGTGAATCAAAATATTCTGGGTGTCTTCTACATAGATGGTCCCGGTGGAAATGGAAAGACATTTTTGTACAAAGCTTTGTTGGCTAATATTCGTGCCCGTGGTCTTATTGCACTTGCAACTGCCACGTCAGGTGTTGCGGCTAACAACATGCCAGGAGGGAGAACAGCTCATTCACGATTTGGAATTCCGCTCAATCTTGATAATAACTCGATGTGCAAGATCACTAAACAAAGTGGGAAGGCTCTGATACTTCGCGAGGCAAAGGTAATCATATGGGATGAAGCAGCAATGGCTAAGAGGCAGGCAGTAGAAGCAGTTGATCGCACAATGCAAGACATCACAGATGAGAAGCTCCCTTTCGGTGGAAAGATAATGGTTATGGGAGGTGACTTTAGACAAGTGTTACCGGTCGTGAGACGTGGCACTCGAGCACAAATTGTCGACTCTAGCTTACGAATGTCACCTCTATGGGCTTCAGTTAAAAGGCTTCGATTAAGTATCAACATGAGAGCGGTAAATGACCCATGGTTTTCTGATTTTTTATTACGAGTCGGTGATGGAAAGGAGGAAACATTGGACGAGTCCTATATTCGTATACCTGATAACATGTCCATTCGGTACACTGATAAAACTAAATCAGTGGACGCTCTGATTGATGCAATATTTCCTTCTTTGGAATCCAACGGCGCCGACTCAAAATTTATCATTTCGAGGGCGATACTGTCAACTAAAAATGAAAGTGTTGATGAGATTAATAATAAGTTGATCGAACGATTTTCTGGCGAGCAAAAAGTTTACTATAGTTTTGATGAAGCGGAAGATGACAAAAATAACTTATATCCGATGGAGTATTTGAACTCGCTAAATGTTAGTGGTGTACCCCCTCATTATCTTCGGTTAAAAACTGGGTGCCCTGTAATACTTTTGCGAAATATCGATCCTTCAAATGGGTTATGTAATGGCACCAGATTGATATGTCGAGCTTTCCAACAAAATGTCATTGATGCAGAGATAGCGGTTGGCCAACATGCTGGAAAAAGAGTGTTTTTACCAAGAATTCCTCTATGTCCGTCTGACGATGAGATGTTCCCATTCAAACTTAAAAGAAAGCAGTTTCCAATTCAGCTTAGTTTCTCTATGACAATCAATAAAGCTCAAGGACAAACAATTCCAAATGTAGGTGTTTATCTACCAGAATCGGTATTCTCACATGGCCAGCTTTATGTGGCGTTATCCAGAGGAATATCACGTGTCAATACCAATGTATTAGTAAAGCCGGAAAAAACGTTTCATAATGATGGAATCTACACATCAAACGTTGTGTACAAAGAAATGTTATGTGATTAACAAGGTACAATCAACAACTTATTATTATACAATTTCTTCAAATATGTATCTTAGATGCTTATTTGATGTTTAATGTAGGGCTAGCAGATGAAGCAATATGATTGCAGATTGGTGTAGGTTATATATTGGACATGTTATAAATGTACAAAACTATATGGTTGCAGATTGTTGTTATTTATATATTGTTAAAATCAAGTATGAACTATCAGATGAATTATTTGAGATGTAGACTCAACTTTTATCGTATTGTATGACTATACACCTAGCAAGAAACTATATCTTGAAATGAACTATTCGACATATAATAGTCTACCAAATGGCCGCAATGAATAACTCACGTCTAAAGGAAACTATTAAAACTATCTTCCGAAAGAAACTTTTTGCCGCCCGGCGCTTAGCGCGGGTAAACGGCTAGTGTGTGTGTGTGTGTGTGTATATATATATATATATATATATATATATATATATATATATATATATATATATATATATATACAAACGAACCCCCAAGGGAGAGTACGAGACCGAAATACCCACTCCTATCTCTACTCCCAAAAATAAATTTCCAATCCCGTCCGTGCCCCCACCCTCTCCCTTACTCCCAAAAATAAATCAGGGTCTAGTTCCAATCCAGTCCTACCCCCACCCTGAATGTTTTTAAAAATTAATCTAGAATGGAATCAGGTCCAGCGGGTCCACAATGAAAATGAAAAATACGTCCCTTGTACTCTTCATTTCTTGATGCTGCGTTTAAAATACTATCAGCCCACAATGAAATGTAGTTAGCCCAACACTCCTCTACCTTGTATAACCCTTTCTCAAGACCGATCGCTAATTTCTCTATCTCTCGTTCTTTCTTCCCATATCTCGACTCAAATCGACATTCACTAAAAGAATCGCATCCTCTCTATTATAATCGGCAGGTAAAAAAAATATTTCCTTGATCGTTTCTCACCCTTCCGTCTTCTCTTTCTGATTCAAATCGCACCACCTTCTTTCTGATTCAAATCGCACCACCTTCTTCTATTTAGATTGCATGGGCTGCGATGGTGGTTTGTGTCGGTGATATCATGGTTCAGGAAAGGGGATGAAGGACAGTTTATGGTGGTGACCGGTGGCTGAATTGGGAGGTTGATGGTGAGGGGTTAAGACTCGAATGGAGGTATAAGGTGGTTTGCGGTTGAAGACTGTAAAAAGATTTTAGAAGGTGAAAATGGTGAAGGTGGTGGGTCCGATGGTAGTATAAGGTGGAATGGAGTTGAATGGTGGTCACGGTGGTGGAATATGGTGGTGACAGAGAAGGGTGAAAGAGATGGAGGTTGGTGTGGAGATGATGATAGGTTGCGTTGGGTGATGGTTCAAGATTGGTCTGGTTCACGGTAATGCAATGAAGGTTTAAAAGGGGTTGATTGAGGTTCGTGGGGTGAAGAAGATATGGCAAAGAGGTGGCAAAAGGTGTGTTTTTTGGGGTCGTGTAGGTTGATTAGGGAGGTGGTGTTGAAGGTGGTTTATAAGGTGGAGAAGGGTGGCTGTAGAGGTAGTTGTCAAAGATGAGAGCTAGAAGCTGGATGAATGGTCATTGGTCAAGGTTTTGGGTTAATCCGGCCCCCTCTTTTTAATTCCATTTTTTTTTTCAAAGAGAGCATGTCAACAATCAACAAGAGGCTTTTTGTTCTTGAAAAAACATGTATCATTAATTTAGCAAGTGCCACTTTATTAGGCTTTTTGATCTTGTATCTTAATGGACTAGCCTTATATGTGTTATGAAATTGGTTGCAAAATATTTTATCTTTAACTCACATCTACAACCAAACCCGAACATCTCCAACATAAGAAACATCAATGATAAAACTTATGTGCAAACATTATCCATCAATTCCTTTAATTTTGAATAAGTATTTTGACTTCATAAAATGAAAACCACCATATCGTTAATTCCATTGAAATTTTGGACTATAAACAAATATACAATTCTCATCTGTGCAATAAGAGATGATGAACCTAACGAATAATAGATGATGAACCTAACAAAGCAGGCTGCATTTATTTTAACAAGTGAAATATAATTTGTAGGTGCATTATAAGAATAATTTGGACTTCAGGAAAAGTTTTTCATAACAGTTCCTACCAACACATTTCAAATAGGCGGAGGTCAAGTCATAATTGCAATAACAAATGAAATAAAAAAACCTTCAATTCAGTTGTAAGCACAACATTATACCCTTATTTTTATCAAACGAAAACCAACTCCCACCAACCCAATGAATAAGCAGAGGGAAACCCGAAAGACTCGGGTTGCACTTATGATGACAAGTAGCGATACAAGGTATCAATTCATATCACAAAAGACATGGGGACTTGATAGAAATGCATGCATCACATGTTCCGCCAAAATATAAAATAAACAAGGAAAATTAAATGTTGATAATCACCATGTGCACATACAAACTCAATATACACACATAATGTACATAAACATATGTATATAATAAGACATGTTTGTTTATTTCCTATTATGAAAAAGGAGCTTTATACCTCCATTTTCACACCTATGAAATTTGTGGGACACCCCTCTGTATTATCAGCGGGACCACGGTCCTGTTTTTATAAGAAAAAAGAAGTAAGAAGATAAAATTGCCACAAGTCTAAAATTTGGTATAAGAAACAGTCAAAAACCAACCTCCTCTCTTATCATTGTCAACTTCCCTGAACAACCTGGGACAAGTTTAGAAATCACATCTCCAAAACAATTATTCACAGTTGTGGAGATCTTTTGCATGCAAAGATCCTTCTTTTTGTCCACTTCTGATATCATAGCTCTGGTTACCTGGTAGACAAGATGTCAAAGTTATTAAAGAAGTGAAGGCACACTTGGGGAATTGGAAGGAAAAATAAGTGTGGGAAAATGTGTAAAAAAAGTTATTAAGTTGTTCTTTCTATATTAAATTAAGTCTAAACAAACACCCAATAGAAATATATAGTTTATTGGGTTAACCAAGGTCACTTACAGTAGCATAGCGTTCGAGATCTTCTATTTGTTTCTTACAGTCTGCTATTAATTTTTCTGGTGAATTGGATATTTTTCGTCTCTTCTTGGAATTGATAAGCCGACCCTTTAATTCCTCTTCTTCCTTTCCGGTGTACCTGTATTTTGACTATGTTATTGTTAACAAGAGAAGCTTACATTTGAAGAATACAAAAAAAACCACCACTAAAATAAATGAAGCATACATTTGAAGAAATTTGGTTATGTTAAATAAGATCTACGATTACCTTTCCAAATCGATTAATTGATTTACGCAACTCTGCAATTTCTTTCTTGTACGTTTCTAAATATCCAACCAATTTATCTCTTTCTCTTTCAAGTAGTTGTACAATTCTATTGTTGATGTCTTTGAGGCATTCTCCCTTTTCAGAGCATAAATTTCCGTTTTCTCTGATGATTTTCGCAAATTTTAGCTTTAATTTGTTTTCATCGTAACATCCACCCCTCATAATTCCTTTGCTAAATTGAAAGCTTATAACGGATGAAGACTAAACTTAATAACAACAAAGTTAAGGAGGAAAAAAAAGATGGATAAAGCAGTACCTTTGGGTGTAACATAGTCATAATCATCCATCGTAATTTCATGTAGATCTTCTAAATACATGACATTACCAAATATCTGAGAGAAGAACAATAATTCAAACTTTGGCTTAATGTGACTCTTCCAGCTTTCGCAGTCTCAGTATTGTCCACTACCACATGGAATAAGCTGCAGAAGAAAGTTCAGAGGAAGGAAACCAAATTCAAATTTCTAAAAAAAAATTAAATAAATAAATAAAAAATAAAAGCATCCAATGACTTCATACAAACAAAAACCTTTTCTCAGCAATTATTTCAACAGCACTAAAATATTTTTCTTCGCAGTCAATCAACTTGTAGATAGGACCAATAACCCCACTAATGTTTGACATCTTGTTACTATACCTGGTTATCGACATCTTGCTGCTTCTTTTTTAAAGCCTTGTCATACAAATGTCTTGTATAAGTCTCTACAGTTTGTTTGACGTAGACTTCATTATCCCGCAACCTGGCTCGTATAGTCTCTACAATATTCTGCTTAGCAGCGCAAGTTGCTAATAGACTTTCAGTGGCCTTTACCTGCTTCTCCACCTGCATGCATCAAGAGAGACGTGAGTTCATTAACTAGCATCATGACATGATTATACAAATTTGTAGCATGCAACACAGATGTGAATCCTTATACTCCGTGAAATATCTTATTTACCTCAATTTGGTTGAAGGTGATTTGCATAAAGTTGTTCTTGTGGCTTTCAAACTCTTGGACATTTTGACGCAGCATGTTTATCGTTGTATCTGATTTTACAAAACATTTAAGAAAACCATCTGGTCAAATGCAACAAACAGCTAACTTAAGAATGACTTGCCTATATTTGCCATTTTGTTGCGGATTTCAGCATGGTGCTCTTCATAGATTTGGGCCCCAATAAATTTTTTTAGTAGATTAAGTCTTTCTACATCGTCCATATCAATCAACGATGCTATCTACAAACAATTGCATGGTTAATATTAATTAAGAACACTTTGACACTACACACATCAAAATCAGAAAGAAAATATAGACTCGGCAGTCTAGCAGCTCCCAGTAGATTCATTAATTCATTTTCCCTGCATGGTTGCATTACCTTGTTTGTTAATTGTTATAACACTTGACAAGATAAACCAGAGATTTCAATAAGGGCAACATGAAGGGTAGAAGGAAACAAATAATTAATCCGAATGGTTGGTAGTGGTACTCACATTATAGGCTTCTCATCCAGATAATATTTATTGCATGTTCTACGCAAAACTACCTCCTCTTTATCAACCTTCAAGTGGTAGAAAAGACTAAAGAGTTTCAGCAACCAAAAAATGCAACATAGAAACTACACGAATTCTATACACTTCTAATTTTAGTAAGAACAATAGTTATCCACAAACATATGAGTGTTTATCCTTAAAAACACACACACACACACACAAAATGTAAAATGCATACAAAGAGAGATGATGGGGATTACCGGAATGATATGATCGGAGTTATCAAATACAATCTCAACAGTTCCTTGCTGAGCAGTCATCACATAAAAAAGTGGCAGTTAATAATAATATATCACCAACCAGAAAATATGACTACTTGATAGGCGATAAAGACATAACTAAACAACATACATTGTAGTCACTAGTGTTCTGTGTCTTGTTGTCGCTTAATACAAAGCGTATTGCTGTGGAAGTAAAACAAGTAGGTTGAGATCACAGAAAAAAAGTAAAAGAGTGATAACAGATTATTATTATTATTATTATTATAAGATAAGATTATTAGCATGTTGAGATAGACATACCACGGGATAAAAGTGACTCCATATCAGCATCTGCACCGAATGCAGTAAAACCATTTTTCAATGTTATAATTGGCGGAAAAATATTGGGTGTAAATTAAATTAATCTTCTAACAGTACTTCCTCATAACATGGTAATAATATTATATGAGAATATATAATAGCTAAGAATAATACACTAGTAAAAAAAGCAGAATGAATATGAGTACCGATGTAGTTAGCTTTTCGGCTAAGGTCTCGAAAAACAACAACTTTATGGTTCGCAAAACCTTGAATGGAGATCTGAAGTATAATCCCACATGCAGATGTTAATACTTAATTTATAGATAGGAATGAATTCACGAGTAGAAGATACAAGGAATTAAGAGGTAAAACGAACTAATTAAAAATTGTACCTGCTTTATGTACATTCTGATTAACCTAGCTTGTCTGCACCTCCTGATAATCAACATAGATGAACAGCTTTTCTCAAAAAAAAAAAAAAAAATTTTGAAACGGCAAATCTAACCTACTCCTAAACTACATTTTAAATCCACCTATGTCCAGAACGGGACTTGAACTCTCAACCTCAATGAGGGAGGACAACACCGGATACCGCTGGGCTAGAAGCCCTTTGAACAGCTCTTTCTGCGAACATACTATACAAGTAAGGCTAAAAGGCATCATGAAATTCAGCACCTGATTCAAAAAATTTCAAATAAAAAATGTCCATAGTTTTAATGAAGCCTCCTCAAGAAACTCTGCAACTTAATTCGTACAGATATATTGTCTAAATCATCTTCCGTCCGACAGCAGACAGTAATTTAGCAAAAAATTGTCTAAAAAACTACCATAACTGTAAGAAGATGTAATCAAAATTGCATAAACATCCTCATCAATCAGACCTCCAAACTAAACTGTTATTAGGTTTGTGATAAACATTTTACCATTTAGCAATTAACACTCAGAAATCGACTTCAAATACCTGATCAAAGATGCGTTTTTGCCCTAGAGTTCAGGGCGTCGCTCTCTCTGTTTGAGTAATTTCCCTCCCTTTTTAGAAATGGTGTATTAGTACATGTTTCGTCCCCAATCGCTTTCTTTTTAACTATACTTTATTAGCCGAGATTATCCTTTGATCACACAGCAAGATTATCTTTCCTATAATTCTGAGATATTAGTCGGTTAAGATATTTTACATATCCTATATCGAAATAGTTTGACACATGTTCTTCTCCCAAACTATATATTTTTTTTTTCCAATGGTCATCTCCTTTCAGCTTCTTCTTTTCCCGCCAAAAAGTTTACAGAGTAAAATACCGAGGCCTTTTATATTCATTTACGACTCAAAGTGTTTTTCCTCTTCATTTTCATATTTCAATCGAACACAAAATCTGGAATTTATATTCTAAATCTTCAATCAGCCTCAAATCTCGGTCCCTTGATTCACTCTGATTTGAATTTCAAAATCCCGCAGATATATAAGAATTTAGACTGATTTGGCAGGTATGTATTTAAGCTACTATCACGCATCAATCAAATCTTCTCCAATTCAAATTAACTTCATAATCAGTAACACTTTTGGAATTGATTCCTTTAAATTTCTATATTTATTTATCATTCACTTCCCATTGTCACCGTTGTGTGACTCCAAAGACAAGGCTACAAACGTGGAAGGTTTTTGTTCACTATTTATTATTATTATTATTATTATTATTTTTTACATATCATACTGTTTCCAGTTTTTGCATTGGTGTTATCTTTTATGTGGTTGTGTTAATGCCTTATGTTTGCTTTGTTATCCATTAGTGAGAACCAAATATGTTCCGCTCTTGTGTTTGATAAAAAGCATAATGACTTAAAACCGTAATATATTTTTTGATTTGTGTCCATTTGGTCGCTGAGTTTTTTTTTTTTTTTTTTTTTTTTTTTTTTTTCATTCAACTTGTTAAATTATATACATTCAGTAGTCCTTATGATCGGTTACTCCAGGTTAGCCGTGAAAAATGACTTAATATGATAATATATTTCTTATTTTGTACACATTTAATCGTTAATATTTTTGTACACATTTAGTCTTTAATATTTTTTTTGTTTCAAAATAAGTCATTTTTGTTTTTGTACTCATTCAGTACTTATGAATGTGGGACAATCATTGATTAAGTGTGTGGGGTTGTTGATGAGTAACATAAGAAACACAAAATCCTTAATACTATTGATGAGTGTGTACAGTCATGTATTCATCTTCCTACGATCAACGATAGAACCTGAAAACATAAACAAACAGATAAGCCCAAAGTTTAGTGAGTTTTTCCCAAAATACCCGATACAACAAACGCATTATCATGCATACCGGGCCCACACTTATCATATTGGAATACTTTGGCCTAATCAATCATCGGACTGGAATGTTAACATGCAACACGTCTAATCAGTCACCGGACTGGAATACCCAGGGTTTGTCGGCATGTTGCCTTAACCTAATCGCTCTTCTCGAGCCTCCGTGCCTACAACTAACAGCCAGTCCACACCAGGTATCTTGGCCTACAACATATAGCATGACCACCTCAACCTATCCAACCACCATATGACTATCCCACGTAAGATGTCGCGAGAAAAACCTAAAGAAATCATTCATAAGTACTGAATGAGTACAAAAACAAAAATGACTTATTTTGCAACAAAAAAAATATTAAGGACTAAATGTGTACAAAGTGAGAAATATATTACCTTATTAAGTCATTTTACCGGCTAACTTGGAGTAGCTGGTCATAAAAACTAAATATGTACAGTTTAACAAGTTGGAGGGACAAATGTGGACGAAAAAAAAGTTAGTGATTGAATGTGTACAAATCAAATAATATATTACCCTTTTAAGTCAATATCCCTTGATAAAAATGTTTATGACAAAATTTGTTGTTAGTGTTGGATAAGGTGTCTAAGTCCATAACTTATTTGGTATATACTTGACCCGACCCGGCATGGTCCATTTGGGTTGCATCTCATCCAAACTATTTATGGATAATTTTATGAGAGTTATACACATATGTTTATTAATATATTATAAGTTATAATATATTAATATGAGATTATGTTATTTAATTAGTTTTAGTCTTAAATTAATTATGAATTAATTTAGAGATTAAAAGGAAGACTAATTAGATTATGGGCTATTGGTTTTATATAGTGTGGGCTAATGCTCTTTTGTTAATGGGCTAAGCTTATATGGAAGTCCATGGATGATCCATGGAGCTTTTAACCCATGGATCCTTGGAAAGGAAAGGTCATGGGTTATTAGGGTTTCACCCTAACCATGCACACTATATAAGCATGCTTATGGAGCATGAAATGGTGCCTAAGTGTAACTAGTGAACTAGTGTGTGTGAGCTTGTGTGTGGCCGAAATATACAAGTGTATACACTCTCTCAAAGTTTTCCAAGAGTTTGTGGTGTTTTGTGATTCCATTTGAGGCATTCACACTATTGGTGCTTGGCCCTCAAACTCCTCAAGAACCAAACTCATCAAAAGGTATGTAATCTCTTCTAACTCTTTATGTTGAAATGTTCCCCATGCCATGTTAGATAGGTTATAAACCTTGGAAAAATTATTATTTTGCATGTATTTAGACAAACATAGATCCAAGGTTTATTAGGGTTGCATGCACACTTAGGAAGTGTTAGATTGCTCAAAACCCAACAGTGGTATCAGAGCCTAGGTTTGCTTGTTTGAATACTTGATGCAAATTGCTGAAAATCGAAGTTTATGTGCTGTCTGCACAGCAGACTCGCCGAGTCCATGAAGGGACTCGATGAGTCCTGGACAAAATTCATCCAACTCGGCGAGTTGGTTCATGCACTCGACGAGTTGGACCCCCAGACAACATATCTTCGAGTTTTGGTGCTGGAATTGGTCTAGAATCATTACCTTAAATTGTTTTGGACTCATAAAACCTGTTTTTGATGTGGTAATAATGATGGTGGACCAA